CATGGGAGTTAATCAAACCTATTGATTTCAAGACGATTTTTTTCACCATTTAAAGACCTCAACAAAAAACCTATTATATAAATATATATAGCCATTTTCACCTAGCAATTAGTCTACATAAAAATGGTACCTTTTTGTCAACCTCAGGTAAATTAACCTATGATGAACAGAAGCTTTGGAGGAAACTACGGCTTGAGGCCTAAACTTAAGTGGTTAAAAGAAGCCACGAATGAATTAAATGCCTGTTAGCCAAGGCCCAAAACAATGGCTTCCAAAAGCCACACAAAATAATGGCGAAGTTTAGAGATTACTTCCTGAGCGGTAAATCTAAGTTTTATATTTATCTCAACCAGGGTTAATGTCCCCAGCAAAAAAAAAAAAAAAAAAAAAAAAAAAAAACAACCTTAACGCTAAATTTCTGAACCATTTTGTTTCTGTACTCGTAAATATTAAACAGAAGGTAAACTGAAAAAAAGTTACTTCCTCCTTTAACCCTCACACCGCCTAACAAAACCTTACTTTACAAAAGAAGACCGAAGAGTATCAGGTTAGCGCCAGTATGAAGGAAGGCATTTTTCCAGACTGGAGGCTATAGATAGGGCTTTATTCACCAGCCAGAGCAGAGTTCCAGAAAGCACTGGCAGCCCGAGGCCCGTGTCTCCAGGCCAGCTCTCAAGGTCCTTTCAAGCGGGCGGGGGTAGAGTCGGGTTTCGGGGGTTGGGTTAATCACCTCCGGACCTCTCACAGTATACCCCACCCTCACTGAAGACCGAGAGAGCGCGGGGGGATGGGGGTCGCCCCAATACTGTTCCAAAGAGGAGGAGACCAGAGGCCTTGAAACAAAGCTGACTGCAGCAGGCGAGGCCCAGGCGGCCTGCAAGAGCTCACTTCCAGGGGCAGGGAGGAGGCGCTACAGAGTGCAGGGGTGGGAGACAAGGTTTGAGCGCTTGGGAGAGACGTCGGGCATCTGATCTAAGTGGACAGTAGAGACCCCTAGGCAAGCTGATCGCCTCCTTTTTACTTTTAGGGAGGGGGTGAAGGGTAGTAGTATCGATATCTTTACCCTGCCAGAGTGAGCAACAAGGATGACGGAGTGGGAGCCGAGACTACGACTGGGCTTCCGTCGGTCCCCCTGGTGGTCCCCTTAGGGTGATAAGGGGAAAATGTCCGGGATCCCCGCCCTGCAGACCCGCAGCTTTGGGGGTCATCTCGGCGAAGGAGAAGGCCCTTACCGCTTGAAATCCCGCATGAGCCTCCTCCGGGCCGGGGTCGACATGCTCCCCAGCTGCCCCGCGGTCAGTCTGAAAGAAAAGAGTCCCGCGCAGCCCCCCCACCCCCCGGCGCAGCGGCCGAATCACTGTGGGTCACCACCGCCGCCGAGACTGCACAAACAACCCTGCAATGACGTCTCCCTCCGCCGCCTTCAGATCCCTCCGCCCTCCGCCGGTACCACAGAGCAAGGAGTGGGGGGGAAGGGGGCGGGGCGTGTGGGGGCCCGTTCGGGGAGCCTCTTGACTAGGACCGTTTTCATTTTGGCCTTCTGAACTTAACAAGAAGTTGTGTTCTCCGCGCTCAGACTAAAGAATGTGGACTAAGAGACACCGCAATCGAAACATTACTGTCTTCCCCCTCCCCCGCCACTAGTTTAGGTTCGGCGGGATGGGGAGAGGGACGCATCCGGGGCCAGAGATTTCAGGGAAGGGAGGTGAGATGACGTAAGATCACGTGACTGCCGGCGGCGTTGTCAACAATCCACCCCTGGGGGGGAGGGGACGAAGTATCTAGAACCACGTGTCCCTGTGACGTGATTAGAACCGGTCACGTGAGAAAGTCGCCTGGATCTGACTTTCAGACAGGTCTACGGAAGGGTCGTTTAACTTACGGAGCTTATTAGTTGTTTTTCTTGTTTGTCCCAAGCTCAGAGTCGTCCTTACTAAATGGACAGCTTGTTTTGATTTGTCTTTAAAATGGAATCAGAAATACTTTGGACTTAATTTGTCTCTAGTTGGTTGTTGGTTTATAAACTCTGGTCCTTGGGGCAGAGAGGATGACGCAAAAGGATCTGCCTACCTTCTAATAAATGCAACAGTTAGTGCTGGGGCCCACACATAGTAAAATCTCCTGAAATGCTTCCTTAGGACTACCAAATACCCTGTTTCTGCACTCTAGTGTGGTGTCTGGTGTTGGAAATTTGGGGCGATGCTAAAAAGAATGATGTAGATGTCCAACTCTTAAAGATCCTCACAACTATGGAATTTAGTTTTCCTCTATGGGTCTTTTTTCTTTGAAGGTATGTATCTAGCCTGAGATACTTCATTCCAGGTTTTCTACACTAGTAAGGATGGTGCAAATAGTCTGGAAGTGCCCCCCCTCCAATTTTCTTTAATCACTCAATTCCCTCTATAGCCTAAAATTCCAGCCTTTAGGATTTGGGTTGGTCAGAATTCTGAGCACTTAATTTGTCTATACATTTGGGGAATTCTTCAGCTCATCAGGGCAAGAGGTGAAATGAGATCCCTAACCCTCACATTTACCCATGCTCTTTCTTTTCATGGTACCAAAAAGAATTAAAGTGGGAAAAGTTCCCATTTTCGTGATACCTCCTTTCTTCAAACCTTAAATTCTATCACTTGCTTTTAACCTTGGTGAATATGTTAGCCAAGCCTAACTCTTGATAAATCTTGCTGTGCATTACAATATGATTCCACATGTCAATATTCTTAATTTTTTGACTTCCCGCAGTAGCAATCCTAATCTTCTCCAAAACTAGGGAGGACAACCTAAGTGCAGGGTTACATGCAATGAAATGCTAAAGAGAAACTATATTTCTAAAAAGAAATCCCTGTAGCCAGGCATGGTAGTGCAAGCCTGTAATTGCAGTAACTTTGTCGGCTGAGTCAGGAGGATCACAGATTTGAGGCTAGCCTCAGCAATTTAGCAAGACCATCTCAAAATAAAAAAATTTTTTAAAAGGTCTGGGGATATAGCTGAGCGGTAAAGGGCACAACGCCCCTTCAATCCCCAGTAACTCCCTCCCCCCAAAAAAAGTCATGTTTTTTTATCTAACAATTTATAACTTTATAAAACTGGGAATTTATAATTTTCGAAAAGATCAAAAACACTTATATCAATCAGTAAATGTGGTTCTTGAAGTCTGATGGCAGTAGTTGCAAAAATCACACTGGAAGCCAGCCACAGTGGCACATGCCTGTAATCCCAACATCTCAGGAGGCTGAGGCAGAAGGATACTGAGTTCAAAGCTAGCCTCAGCAAAAACAAGGTGCTAAGCAACTCAATGAGACCCTGTCTCTAAATAAAATAGGGCTGGGGATGTGGCTCAGTGTGCACCTGAATTCGGTCTCTGGTAATCCCATCCCCCCCAAAAAAAGTCAAGAATCACACTCTATCTTGGTCACCAGGCCTGCCAAAACCTATTTGTGGAAAGAATAGTCTTAAAGCTCTAATTATATACTGTAGTAATTTTGTAGTTCAGGAACTGAGTCTGGTGCATGCTTTATTTAACTTAACCACAACAAATACTGAATAAATATACTAATCTCAATTCACTATATCTATAAGTTTTCATTTTTTGCAGTACTGGGGCCCTCTACCATTGGGCTACATCTCCAGCTTTTTTTAAGGCAAAGTCTCACAAAATTGCAGAAGCTGGCCTCAAAATTGGGATCCTCCTGCATTCTCATTCACTGGGATTATATAGGAGGACCACTGTGCTCGACTCATCTATTACATTCTTATTTATACACAGAAATTATTATTTTGTTGGATTGAAGCCAGGGCCTTGGGTCTGGCTAAATTGCCCAGATTGGCCTCAAATTTGTGATCCTACTGCCTCACCCTCCTTAGTAACTGGAATTGCAGGTCTATGCCATGGTGTCTAGCTAGAAATTATTTTACAATATGGTTGAGTAAATTTTGGAAAACAGACAATTCTGAATATTTTGGGTGGCAAAAACGAAGAGTATTTCTCCTTCATGTAAACTACAGTAACAGCGTATAAAAACTTAGGAAATACTAATTTCTTTACCCATTAAATCAGAATATCTGGGGCCTTTTCAAAAGCTCTCCAGGTATGTAGATGCTTGGATGGGAACCACTAGCCTACAATTAGTGGAAAATAATGTCTGTCCTTTTATTTAGAGGAAGCATAACTATTTACATTCAACACTTTACAGAACTACAAAATTAAAGCTCCCATAAAGACAGCACAACCAGGGGCACTTGCTTCATGATATACTTTTTACTCACTGAAGGCTGTCACTAGAATTAAATCGGTCTACTTCTTAAAACAATTAGGCACTGACTCCTCCCCACGCCACGCCCCGCGCCCTAGTGCATCATATTTGATAGGACCCTTAGAATTGTTTTTCTAAAGAGTACCTTTTAGAGTTCTCACGTGTAGTAAGGGAGTTTTTTAAAGAGATTATTAGATTTGGAAAAATTTAGAAGGCTAACAGTAGATACCCGGGGCCTCGTGGCGTGATAATTACGCGTTCTGACACTGAGCTAGCTATACCCCCAGACCAAGGAAAGTTCTTGGTTAAAGAACCATCTTATCCACGTTTTGAGGATGGATGTCAACTGTTGACACTCCTACATGGGAATATTAATGCAGTTGGCGAAACTGTATCACACAAAACTTTGGAAATATGATTTTACAAGCTGTCTGTTTAATTACCACAGCTACTCTTTTAGGACCCAGAAGAAGCAGCTGGTATTCTCCGACCCGGGCACATCTGCGACGCAGGTCGGGAAAGTTTTCACCTCGGCTTCCCTTCCCTAAATATTTGCAGTCACTTACGCTGCAGCCAAAATGTGGACGCTCCGGTTCCCGGATCAAAACCAACCTTTGAGGACTCTCCAACTGCGACAGAAAGCTGTATTTCCCTCCCCCACCTCCAAGCACGTTTCCACTTTTCACACGCTTCTGTTTCCGGGTCGGCACCCCACAGTTATTCCGGTCCTGCGTACTAGGGCTGGAGCGCCCTCCCCGCCCCACACCGTTGCCATGGTAACCGGCGACCTAGGGCTGTGGAAGTTAACCCGTAAAGTAGGGGCGGTGTCCCTCGCCTGGCTTGGGCTGCGCGGAGCCGGGCCAGTGGGATTACAGAATGGGCTGAGGAGGCGGCGGCTGCCGGAACAAAGTCGACAGCCGGCGAGGGGCGCAACACCGGTCCGGGATTCCGGGACGCGGGTTTGAGGAGTGGGCGGGAAGGAGGCTTTGGTAGGACCCGTGGCATGTTGTGCACTAGTGCGCGGGAATCCTTTATTTGCCCCTAGCAGGAAGTGTGGGGACCCCGCGCTTGACACGTGGTGACAAGTAGTGAGGGAATCTAAAAGTTGATGGGAATGATCGAGAAAATGGGAGGACCCCTCCAGTCTGGTGAGGATTGAAGCCTCTCAAAGACACGTTGATTGCCTAGGAGGCATAATTCCCAGAGGCACACGGGCTTTGTGGAAAAGATTACTATTCCGTTTCCGTATTTGAAAGTGGGGGCTTACTGGGTCTATACATTATCCAGCTTGAATAAATAAAAGTGTAAACGTTTAACATTTTCTTTCTTTATTTCTATGAAGAAATAGAAACCAGGCTTTGAAAATGGAGATGTATGAAACCCTTGGAAAAGTGGGAGAGGGAAGTTACGGAACAGTAATGAAATGTAAACATAAGGATACTGGGCAGATAGTGGCCATTAAGATATTCTATGAGAAACCAGAAAAATCTATCAACAAAATTGCAACGAGAGAGATAAAGTTTCTAAAGGTTTGCTTCTTTTGCCTTAATTGCTGTGTAAGCCAAAAGAAAAATTGTTATGATATAAAAAAATTTAAAATAGTTGAGTTAAACCATTCAACAGAAAAACCAACCTTATTGCCTACACTTTGTAATTTTATAGTACTACAAAATGTATGTGTTTCTGTATAATGTAACAGTTATGTAAATATTTGTGAATAGTTAGAAATATCCAAGAATAATGCTTAATTTTAAAAAAAAGTCTGTGCAAGAAATTGTGCTAGATGCTGAGACTATACAGGGGTAAAAGGTGGTTATTTCCTCGATGACTCATAGTTTAATTAGAAAGGAGAGTATATAAGAATAACACTAAATAAAAATTGGCTCATAATAAATGCCAAGTGATTGCTACAAAATGCTATTGGGCAGGGAAAGTTTCTTGGAGGAAATGACACACATTTGGTTTTAAAGGATGTGTAGGATTTATATAAGAGGGATGAAACTATTGAGTTTCAAGTTGGGAAACAGCATAAACTTAGAAAGGCTAATGGACAATTACCACACATGATTGCATATTTTTGTAAAGTCCCTGTGGTTATAAATTGATATCTCTTATATCTGAAGGTTTTCTAGATAGTTTTAATATTTTGCACTCTGAAAAATTTATAATTTCCCCTGAAATTAATGGGTTTACTCTCTAGAGTTTAAGACTCAAATTAGAAAATAATTAATTTGCATAAATTCAGATTACTTACTTAATGGTGTTGAAATCCATCCTTATTTGAAAATATAAGGACCTTGGGGGCGGAGATATAGCTCAGTGGTAGAGTGTGTGCTTAGCTTGTGCAAGGCCCTGAACTGGTTCCCCAGTACAAAACTATAACAACAAAACAATCAGAAAACATAACAATTTAAGTGTCATATGTTAAATTTAACCATAAATCAATTTTAAAAATTTGAAGACATTTCTCAGCATACTGTTTCATTATAGTACATTGTTTCTAAATTTTTAAAATAAATAATCAAATGCCAACTTGATGAAAATTCTATAAATAGTTATCATGAAATACCTTAAAATTTTTCTTAAAATAAGAATTTAAACAAGTCACTTGAGAAACTTTTTTGAAATACATGGAGGAAAAGAAGCTGAGAATATTTAAAAGTTACATAGATATTGTATGTACATGTTACCATGTTTGAAATAATTTATTAAAAGTCTGTTTCTTTTGTCAATAGCAATTTCGTCATGAAAACCTGGTCAATCTGATTGAAGTTTTTAGACAGAAAAAGAAAATTCATTTGGTATTTGAATTTATTGACCACACAGTATTAGATGAATTACAATATTATTGTCATGGACTAGAGAGTAAACGACTTAGAAAATACCTCTTCCAGATCCTTCGAGCAATTGAATATCTTCACAATAATAATGTAAGTGCTTCATAATAAGCCACACTATAGGATGGATCATACTTACTTCTTTGCATGATTAATAAATTTAATGTTGAAAGCAGGACGTTTTAAATAATATACTGTGGTTACTTTGGAAATTAGAGTTTCCCATCTCGCTCAGGGTTTGTTGTAGTGGCTATGACTATTTGTTTAGTTGCATTCCTGAACTAAATCTTTGAAGTCTATATTCTTTGTCATGTATGTCCTCTGAAATCTCTGTTCAGTTAGCTTAGAGGTTAGTTACCAAGCAGACAGGCTTTTTTAAGTTAATTAATATGAAGTCCTGCAAATATCACCACAGTCCTATTATAAAATATTTTCACCACTCCAAAAAGATTCCTCTTGCTCATTTCACTCAACCCTAATATCTACCCCCATTCCAGGCAGCCAAGAATCTACCTTTTAGCTACAGATACACCTTTTAAGATATTTATTATAAATGAAATGATACAATATGTGGCCTTTATCATATGGTTTCCTTCACTTACCATAAATTTTTGAAATTCATCTTTGTTGCATGCATTGCTACTTTATTTCTTTTTAATTGCTGAATGATATTCCATTTTATAATATACCACATTTGTTTATCCATACACCAGTGGATAGACATATGGATTGTTTCCGATTTGGGGCTTTTATAGATAATATTGCTCTGAAAATTCATGTGTAGTCTTTGTATGGATGTACATTTTTAATTTTCATGGGTGTATATCCAAGATGGATCACATGGTTAGTTTTATTTATTTTTATGTGAGATTGTTGTTGTTGTTGTTTTATTTGTTTGTACTGGGAATTAAGCACCTAAGGGGACTTCACCACTTAGCTGTAACCCCAGTCTTCTTAATTTATATTTTATTTTGAGCTGAGGCTGCCCTTGGACTTGAAATCCTGCTGCCTCAGCTTTCTGAATTACTAGGATCACAGGTATGTGCTACCACATCCAGCCTGTATTTTTTTAAATGTTTTTTTTTTATTTAAATTACAATTGTTTGTATTATTCTTAAATCACAATCTTTTACTATTTTCTTTTTTAAAGTTTGTTCTAATTAGTTATACATGACAACAGAATGCACTGACACATCATACATAAATGGAGTATAATTTCTCATTCTTATGTTTGTACATGATGTAGAATCACAGCAATCCTGTAGTCATATATGTACATAGGGTAATCCTTTTCCGATACACTTCCCCTCCCTTCACTCCCCTCTACTTAAACTAAAGCAACTCTATTCTTCTCTAGTGTCCCCTCCACATTGTGAATTAGCATCCACATATCAGAGAAAACATTCTGCCTTTGGTTTTTCCTGTGTTGTTTTTAAAGAGACGACCAAATTGTTTTCCAAAGTGACTATCATTTTAAATTCCCACCAGCAATGGGTTCCATTTCTTCCACTGACGCCCCAATATTTGTTAATGTCATTGTGTGTGTGTGCGTGCACTCTAGAAATCTAACCCAGGGGCTTGTGCATGTTAAGCAGGTGCTTTACCACTGGCCATTACCCCCAGTCCTATTATTGTATGTATGTATGTATTTATTTATTTATGGTACTAGGGATTGTACCCAGGGACACTTTACTACTGAGCTACATCTCCAGCCTTCTTTATTTTTTGTTGGGGGGCCCAGGATCTAAGTTGCTTAGGACTTCATTAAGTTGCAGAAGTAGGGGCTGAGGCTGTAGCTTAGTGGTAAAGTGCTTGCCTCACATGTGTGAGGCACTGGGTTCAATCCTCACCACCATATAAAAATAAATAAAGATACTGTGTATTCATCTGCAACTAAATAAATTTTAAAAAGTTGCAGAGGTAGAGGTTGGCCTTGAACTTGCTGTCCTCATGCCTCAGCCTTTGGAATCACTGAGATTATAGGTGTATGCCACTGCACCTGGCTTATTATTGACTTTTTAATTGTTGCTATTCTAGTAGGTGTAAAATGGCATCTTTTGTGTGTGGAGGGTTAATTTTCTTTATTCATAGTGCAATTATCTATGTACAAAATCCTATAAAATATACAACAAAGCTAACAACTATTAAGTGAATTTATCAAGGTTGAGGAATTCAAGATCAACATACCAAAATCAGTTGTATTTCTATATATTAGTAACAATCAGAAATTGAAATTTACAAATATCATTTATAAAATACGAAATAATAGGGAAAATTTGACAAAAGATGTTCAAAACTTGTACACTGAAAACTAAACATTGATAAGAAATATTAAAGATCATCTAAACAAATGAAGAGAAATTGCTTTTATGGAAGTCTCTATTATTATGATGAAAAATCAAGGAAGGTGCTTCAAAACAGAATTGTAGGCTGGAGTTGTGGCTCAGTGGCAGAGCGCTTGTCTGTGTGAGGCACTGGGTTCAAATCCCAATATCACATACAAATAATAAATGAATAAAATAAAGGTCTGTCAACAACTAAAAAAAAAACTTAAAAAATTCCAGAATTGTAAAAGTCAGAATTCAGAGAGTGTTTGGTTTCTAATAATATTCTCCCTGTAGTAATAGTGTTGGTTGCTAAAAAGACTGAGAATGTTAAGGAATGGAGTGAGAGACTCTTCATGCCCCATGTTTATAACATTGAGGTGTTTGATGGGTATATGGTGGGCAGAATATGTGAAGTAGTATCATAATGTGCTTATTTATTTCTATTTTCATGCACATTATATACTCAGACCTTGACATAGTGACTGGCATATAGCAGGAACTCAATAACAATTGTGGAAATAAAAAAGGATTAATGTAGTTTGACAGATACAACCTTAAGGAAGCTGAATTAGAAAGGCTTACCCTAAGTTATTTATTTAGTTATTTTGGCTATTTATGGAGGCAGACTGAGGCCAAACAAGAGAAACTTCCAAAGATTTATGGCAGTAGTTTGTATGAACTTTGAAAGATCTCAGGTTTCTAATACTGAGACATTTTCACTCATGCTATTACACTTTGCAGATGATGAGTGTATGTCTCTATCATTCATCTGATTAAATTTAAATGCCTTCTTTGCTGTAGGCATTACATTGGACACTGAGAATATTGCTTGAACAAAGCATGTATCTTGCCCTCATGTAATTTACAGTACACTGGGAGTTTCAGACAAGTAAATAATTGACAGTTCAGCATGATAAATATTGTGAAAGGGGAAGTACAGATGATGTGAATGTATGGAAGGAATAAACATTTAAGCTTATATCCAAGAAAATGGTTGGCCAGGCAACTGGAACAACATCAACAAATGCATAGAGATTGGGAAATTAATATTGGCTCTGGCAAATTTGGAAACTAATATTCTATGGACAAGGGAGGGGAGGTTGAGAAGGTAGACAGGGGCCAAATCTTACAAGCCCTTTCAAGCCAATTTTTGATATTTATCCTATGGGATGGGGAATCCTTAAAGGGTGACAAACAGAGAAGTGATATGATCACACATGTGATTTTAGAATAGTACTGTGACTTCGTTGTGGATGTAGAGTGGAAGGGATCAGAATGGATTCAGGAAGAGAAATTGATAGTTGTGTTTAATAGTTTTGGTGAGAGAGCTGAGGAGTTGTGTTTAGTAGTTTTGGTGAGAGAGCTGAGGAGTTTTGAGCTAGGAAGATTGTAATAGTGTGAGGGATGGGAAAAAGGCCTTGGTTTTTGGCCTGAGCCATGGGGGTCAGTGGTAGCTCCACTCATTGAAATAATGTATTATTGAGAATGAGTAGGTTTAGGGGAGAAGGAGATGCATTTAGCTTTGGATTTGCTAAATTTGAGGGGCCTGTGGTCAGTCTTGTGGGATTTCTTGTAGACTTTCACTCCTGGAAAGTAAGAGAGAGAGATCTTGGTGAGAAACAGAAATGTAGAAATCATTAATGTATGGATAGTTACTAAAGCTTATGAGTAGATGAACCATATATAAAAATCAACTCAAAGTTGACTAAAGACTTAAATATAAGACCTGAAACTAAAATTTTCTTTACTAGAAGAAAAAGTAGGAGGAGACTCCATGACACTGATCTGGGCTGAGATATATATCTCCAAAAGCACATGCAGCAAAAGCAAAAATAGACAAATGGAATTACATTAAACTAAAAGCCTTCTTTTAGTTTAATTTCTTTTTTTTCTTTTTTTTTTTAAGAGAGAGTGAGAGAGGAGAGAGAGAGAGAGAGAATTTTTTTTAATATCCGTTTTTTAGTTCTCGGCAGACACAACATCTCCGTTGGTATGTGGTGCTGAGGATCGAACCTGGGCCGCACGCATGCCAGGCGAGCATGCTACCGCTTGAGCCACATCCCCAGCCCTAGTTTAATTTCTTAACCAAAGAAACAACCTGCAGAGTGAAGAGACAACCCACAGAAGGGGAGAAATGTTTGAAAATGATACCTCTGATGTTGACTTAACATTCAAAATATGTAAAGAATTTAAACAATGCAACAGATAAACTGATTTAAAAATGGACAAAGGATATAAACAGATATTTCTCAGCCAGGCTCAGTAGCACTTGCCTTTAATCCCAGTGGTCCTGTAATTCCAGCAGCTCAGAAGGCTGAGGCAGGAGGATTGCAAGTTCATAGCCAGCCTCAACAATTATAGTGAGGCCCTGAGCAACTTAGCGAGACCCTGTCTCAAAATAAAAAATAAAAAAGGGCCGTGGATATGGCTCACTGATTAAGCACCCTGCGTTCAATACCCAGTAAAAGGAAAAAAAAAAAAGGACATACAACCAGGCTCAGTGTAGCATGTCTGTAATCCCAGCTATTCTAGAAGCTGAGGCATGAGTGTCATAATTTTAAGACCAATCTTGGGAACTTAGACTATTTCAAAATTTAAAAAGGCAGGAAGGAGGGGACAGTAGCTCAGTGGTAGAGCACCCTCTGGGTCCAATCCCTAGTATGAGGAAAAAAGAAAAGAAGAGAACCTTTGCACAATGTTGGTGGGAATGCAAATTAGACATTATATAAAACAGTATGGTGGTTCCCAAAAATAGAAATTATGGGCTGAGGGTGTAGTTCAGGGATAGAATACATGCCTAGCATGTGTAAAGCCCTGGATTCAATCCCCAGAAGTAAAATAAATAAGTAAAAAATAAAAAAATTAAACTTTCATATGCGCTATCAACACCACTAATATATATCCAAAGGAAATGAAATCAGTATGTCAAAGATACATCTATACTCTCTTGTTTATTGCAGCATTATTGTTTTTTAAAAAATTTTTTAGTTGTCAGTGGACTTTATTTATTTATATGCAGTGCTGAGAATCGAACCCAGTGCCTCACACATGCTAGGCAATTGCTCTGAGCAACAACCCCAGCCTGCATTATTCTTCTTTAAAATATTTTTTTTAGTTGTAGATGGACACAATATCTTTATTCATTTATTTACTTTTATGTGGTGCTGAGGATTGAAACCAGAGCCTTGCATGTACAAGGCAAGCACTCTACCACTGAGCTACAGGTCCAGCCTGGCAACATTATTCCTAATAACCAAGAAATGGAATTAAAACCAAAATGAAATAAGGCACAGGATAAATATAATGTGATTTCACTTATATGTGGAATCTAAACAAGTTGAACTCAGAGTGAATAATGAATAGTTGGGTAGAGAGTATAAGAATATATCTTCAAGAGGGTTAGCTGTGAAAGAAATGAGAAGGACAGTAACTGGAATGGGCCATGGGGATAAAGGAAAGTTAAAATTTCCTAAGTGCTTTTGATCTTATAGAAATGTGGTTTACCTTTTTAGTATTATGTCTATCCTGGCTTGCTTCCTTCCTTTCTTTCTTTCTCTCTCTCTCTCTCTCTCT